GTAGTTTCCCGGGGGACCACTAGATGGCTTAAGGTGTTTCACTGTGAAGGCTGCTCAGACATGGCCGTGTTAAAAACAGGCTGCCGTGGCAGAGTTTGGATAACCTGACGTTGGCCACTTATTTAGCATCCTTTGCAGAAAGACAAAGTGCATACTGAAGCGCAAATCTGAGTAGACGCAATAGTGTTAGAAAATGCCATGTCAATCTTGGATGGGTTCCATGTGCTCTAGTGGAGCAGTCAGCTAGAATCCAATCTAAGAGTTGTAAGTGTTAGTACTCTTAAGTCTGATGAACCACCTTGTGATTCTGATGCCCTGCCAAGGAATTGTATCTTTCTCCTCAGAGTAAATTCTTTATTTGTGTGATTTCCTGTCAAGTAAACCCCTAGAGGACGATGCTGTCGAAATTCAGTTTTGTTTTTGCTTACTTTTTTATTTATACTCCCTCTCTGCTGTGGTTGAGTATTTGCAGGTGTTCATAAATTAGAACATCTGGCTTGGATGCTGTTTTGAGAGTTTGGAATAACCAGTGTTACATGAAAAATATATTTTTAAAAAATAATCATAGATGGCATACATATCTAAAATACTTAAATTTTCTTAGTTGCGTTGTCATTTGCCTTAATGTAGCAAGGGAGAGCCATGCATGGGTAGGGGAGAAACACCTCCCACCATTATCCTGTAGATCCCCCATTCTTGTACAAAAAGGGCTGCGGGGGGAATATGACGAAGGAACAAACTTTATTCAAGGAATGCAGAGGAAGGCTGTTACTTCTGTGCTGCTCAACGCATGAGCAGGATTGTCAGCTGTGAATCCAGCCCTGCCCCTTACTGCCGCTCCTGTATTCATCACAGCGGTGCGCACAACTCATGGATGAGGCTACAGTCATGAGGCATAGCACCCACTGGTGCAAGAAACTTGCACACATGCTTAGGTTGTCTGACCAAGATTTCTTCAGACATCAGGCCTACTTCCTTATTTATTTATTTATTTATTTATTTATTTTTGTTTCTTTAAAGTCCACCTTTCTCATTGAGACTCAAGGTGGATTACACAGTGCAAGTTGATGCAGTCAATAGAATGAGACCTCTAATAAGCAATATAATAGGACTACTGAAGACTGAAACAAAATGTAATATATTAGACATATGTTAAACAATGCAGAAAATGGTATTACATAAGTAGAACACAATGCAGGGGAGCAGGACAATACAAACAGATAATGCATGATCTCCAAGCCAGTTAGGCTAAGCAAATGGTTACAAGGGAGGGAAGGCGAACTGTGGCCAAGTTAAATTCTATATTTTAAATTAGTCTGTGTAATCACAGGGTAGAAGGAATGTAGCCTGACCCAAGGTAGGACTCCTGAGTGCATTAGTGCCGTTGAATAATTACAGGTGCCTTGTGCCAGAGGCCCCTGAAGGTAAAGCATGGCTTGCTGAAAACTGCCCAAATGGATTAGGCAAGTGAACCAAGAATGATACTTAAAAATAAATAAACAGAATAAATAAAGGTGGAATAAGAAGAGAGAATACTTTTCAATCTGACCTAGGATGCATGGTGGAGAAGATGGTGCTTACCAGTCCATGAAAGGGAATAGAAGGTGAGGGAAGGAATATGGCACAGAAACCATTCACCGAGTCCTGTTTTTTATATTCCTTAAACAGAAGTCTGAGGAGTTGTACTATGTCCTTCATAAATTAGGGGGACTTCTGCTAGAAATGTTATGCCTAGTAATTGTGCTGTTCATATTAGTTGATATTGGTCTGCTTTTTGTTTCTGATTATCGTGATCTCCACTGGTAAGTCCTCTGGGAGCTACATGAGGTTATTATTTATTTATTCTGCAGCCTCTCCAGGAACCTGCCCAAGACAGCGTACAAAATAAAAGTAATAATAACAAAACATTAAAAATATTAATTAAAATCCAGCATTGAAAAAATCCCAGCCCAACAAGAAAACATGGGTCACAAAACGCATCACAGACAGCTTAAAATAACAGCTCCCAGGCTAAGAGAGCATCAACAATTAGCCTCTTATTTAAAATTCCACTGGTTGAACTTTTTATTACATATGTTGAAGGCTGTGTATACTAAATTGAGGGTCCAAGGCTACCAGTGTCTCTGTCTCCAGCTTCAAGATGATGAGGGAGGCTTGACCAAGGTCATCTGTACACACTTTTACCCTTCTTTGATTCCCAAGAAATACCTTCCTGCGTTTTAGGTTGAAGTGGCAGCACTGGGGACATTCTACGTCACTTACTTAGATATCCTGTAATTGTAGTGAAATAACTTTCTCCCTCTGCTGTTAGAGGCCTGTGACCAATGGTCAGATCTGCAGGGAACTTTTTTTTTGCCCTAGCATTGCTAAAAGCAACTGCATTTTAGTGATGTTCATGTGCATTGTCTCCTGCATTTGTAATTCACTTTCTGCATTGAGGTATATTTTCGTGCCATAGTGGGGGGGGTTGGTTTTTGTGCCCCTCCCCATTGTTTTTGAACTCTAATCGTAGTTCTACTGCAAAATTTGTTGGGTGCCTTATGCTGTTTGGTCAAATGTTTTGTATATGTTATAATCAGCCTTGAGGTCTCTACTAGAATGGCAGGCTATAAATGAAATAACTAACCTAAAATGTAACTAAAATTGGTTTACAAGTACTTAAAGGAAACTTTGGGTACAGGACAACAATTCACTGTGTATAATGGGCTAGGAAAATTCATCCATTTGATTGAATTGGTGTAGGGCAGGCACTTGGAATTGGCACTTGGAATTTCAGTGCCATCCTATGCACAGTTACTCTACTTTTAGACCATTGGAATCAGTGGGCTTAGAGTGGAGCAACTCTGCATACGATTGCACTGTTAGTGGCTTTTCTTACTGTTTGAACTCATGGTGGTGCTTTATATGAACTGTGACTTATTTATTAAAATATTTATATTCCACTTTTCCTCATGGCCCTCTGGGCTTACAAATGACAATTTAAATTGTGCATAATAAAATAAAACCACAAATGACAAACCACAGTGTAATCTGTTAGTGAGGCTGTTAGTAAGGCTTTCATTAACCTCTCACTGCTGCCACTGAGACGCAGAGGGAATATAATCACCTGGAAGTTGTTGCAGGGCCCCCCCCCCCCCCCCCAGTACTTACAGACAATTATGCCACCGCTGCTGTCTTCAGGTACCAGCCGAAGGGCAGGGCCAAACAGTTTCTGGAGGAAGGTATGGCAATCTTTTTGCTTTGCTGGTCTCTGGATTTGTGTTTAACCTCATTTAGTTCAGCAGTATCAGGTCCTTGTGAGACTTCTAATCTTTGCATCATTGATCCTTCTTACTCCTTCCTGCTGCTTTGTCTCATTTTACAAAACTGTCTTGGGAATGGGCCCTGGATGGTTCTCTCCTGTGCTCTTAACACTTTCCTGGCCTTAGTCTAGAAATTGGTTCCTATGCCAGTCTTACCTAGAAAGCCCCTGTACATAGACAGAGGCATAAAAACATGATCTCGTGTTCATCTGTTTAATGGCACATGCATGTACTGAGAAGCCCTAACTGGCTTTCAGTGTGTGCACCTGTAGCCACAGGCACTACAGTTTTTCACATACAAGTGCTTCCTATTTAAAAAAAAAAAGGTTCAAGTGCTCCCAGGCCATAGAGCCTCCATCCTACCTCTCGACTTCCATACCTGCCATAGTTGTGTGCTGGTATAAACTGCTTAACACAGCAACACAGATTTTGTTCTGTCCTTGAATGCTTTCTCAGTGAAACAGATGCCAACCTCAGAATTTCAAAGTGCTTCACATTATCTCTGTCATTTTTACACACACCCCCCCCCCAAAAAAAATCTTCTATACAAGGTCAGTATTCAGTTGTGTTGCTGACAGGAGACAAAGGATCGTAGCTTGCTAAGGTCACTTAATGACCTTGTAGCTAAAGGGAGTTACAAGCTGGAGCAGTTGAATTTGGAGCTTTAAACTGGTGATTGTACTGTAGTCTCATCTCAGATGAGGATACACTACACTTTTCCTAACTTGCCGGAAGGTGCAATTTTTTCTAGTTATCACTTCATATTTTGTCCCCCCACAATGCTGTTCCTTGGGGGTCATTGATCTCCCGGGACATGATTTGGAGGGGCACTTTGGACTGCAGTGGGGAAGAGGAGACAGGAAACTGAGAGTTCTCCATCATTCTCATGTTAGATAGGGTCCCTCTGTTTTGTAGTCTGAGTGCTTTCTGAAAGGTCCTTGGACAAAATCAGCACAGCACACAAGTCCGTCATTTGTGGAGTCTTATAGAAGCAAACAAAAATAAGTAATAAACTTCTGAAAGTTGCCTACCACATACTTTCTGCTATAAGTTGACCTTGATCCCCCCCCCTTCTCTTTTCCCCCTCTGTTTTACTCCTGGCCGTGACACTGACAAGGTGGTCATAATCCATCCGACAGTTTATAACCTCTTTCCTACTTGCAGGGAGTAAAAAGCATCTGACTAGAAGGGAATACATGGGACAAGTTCCTTGCTGACTATAATTTTGTTGTCATTTCAAGTATTCCAGTGGTATAATTGATGTGACAGGACTGGGCTTTAAACATAGTCCCTTAGCTTGTGCTCACTTTCAGTTTTAGTCTCTCTGTCATTCAATTTGACTAGGTAAGATGTAGGTGACAAATATATACATGTCTCTAAAGTTACATAGCGTGTGTGTATATATGTATATAGAGAAAGAGATATAGTTAGCTCCTGAAATATATAAAGCTTAAATGTATTTTCCCTTCCTTGAAACATACGGTAATTGGTGTCACCTTACAATATAAGATAGAATTGGTGGGCTGCTGGCAAAGTCAGCAGGAGGCTGTCTCTTTTTTATTAATATTATAATTAAATAATTTTCTGGAAAAAGGCCAAAACTCAGATGTGAGTTGATCGTGACTTGTCCACTGTTAACTTGGCGCAGTCGCTTGCGTCTTCTACAAAGAATTGACTTTTGGCGTCCTGTTTTTACAGGTTGTTATCGATGCCTTCAGATTGATCAATGCTAATATGATGGTCTTGGGACATGAACCAAGACAAACAACTTCAAATCTGGGTCACTTAAACAAACCATCTATCCAGGTAAAATTCATTGTTTGATATTGCTGTGTTCACCTTGAAATGTGCGTGATTCTTGTGGCTCAAAACATAATCGCTGATCATTTTGTGCCCATTCCTTTCCTATATGTATTTAAAATGGAAAGAAGTTAAAACACCACATTTTAGGTTTATGAAATACTAAATATTGCTATGAAGATTCAGCTGCATTTCATTCGGAACAAAAATGTACATAATGGGTTTATTCTCTGTGTTACCATTGCTATGTCTTTTTGGTGCAGTTGTGTGTTATTCAAGAGATCATATGCAGGTTAGTTTTGCGCTACTCATGTCTTTCTCAGTGGTTGCTCAATAGCTTTTCTCACTGTCTCTTGGTCTTAGTTTTTCTTATGAATAACAAAGACCATAACATAAGAGCAGTCACACCATAGTGTTAAACAGAGTTAGAGCATTACCGTAAAACCCGGAAACATGTGATTAGAGCCAGTTTGGTGTAGTGGTTAAGTGCGAGGACTCTAAACTGGGAGAACCGGGTTTGATTCCCCACTCCTCCACTTGCAGGTGCTGGATGACCTTGGGCAAGTCATAGTTCTGTTAGAGCTGTTCTTGAAAGAGCAGTTCTCAAAAGAGCTCTCTCAGCCCCACCTATTCACAGGGAGGGGGTCTGTTGTGGGGAAGGGAAAGGAGTTTGTAAGCCGCTCTGAGACTCCGAGTGAAGGGCAGGGTATAAATCCAATCTCCTCCTCCTCCTGCTACTACTATTTCTACTACTACTAACAGGCTAGTAGTTTTTTCATGTCCCAGAGTTTACTCAAAATGAAATTAGGAGCATTTCTTGGACTTGTGCACCTCTTCCTGTGCCTCTAGCCAGTGCAAGTAGAAAGCAGTGAATGAACTGGTAGATCTCGTTCATCTCCGAGTCCACTGCTTATCTCCTACTCATAAGGAAAGGATCTCTCTCGCAGTCTTGAACTATTGCCATCTTGGAACCCAAAGGATTTCTGAAGAGGCTCATAGGTGTATATTTCTGACAATACAGTTTATTTTAGTGGAACTTCCAAACAAGTATGGTTTAGGATAGTAGCCAATTCGAAACATATTTCCTTTTAAAAAATGCCTGCTATATAATGCAGTCTTGCATATTTCTCTCCCCCCTCCCCCCCCGTCACCTCTAAATAAGTCAGTAAAACTCACAAACTGAAAGCAGGGAAACTGATAACAGGAGATCAGGGCTGTTAAGTTTGCACCAGCCTTTAGAGAACATGAACCTCAATCTTTTTACTTTTATATGTGCTTAAATTTATATTTTGATGTACTTTCTGGAAAGATAAGAGAATTGGATCAGTACAGTGTACTCCCAAATAAATCTTGCCAAAAGATGGCATTTGGCTTTCAGTTCTCTGCGATACAGGTTGGGGGTGGGGACTTTCTGTGTAGAAAGCATCTTGTTTCTTCAACAAGCGTTCCCTCATGAATGATTAACTTCTTTGCCATTGCCATTCTCGTGTGCTGATGATAATACTGCCAAAAAAATTATTATTTTTCTTTAAAATGCATTTTAAAAGGCCCAGATAGTTGCAACCACAAAGCCTAATTATTTCTCTGAAGATTAATTACAAGAGCACTAATAGCAACATACGCTGTAAACACTGCCCTTGCCTTTGAAAACAGCGTAGCCCCACCGTCAAGCTGGAACCAGAGACTCCAGCTCTCATTCTCACCTTGGAGACTTCCGATCTAGTCATAGTTAAACCCCTCTGACATCAAAAACATGGATAGACCAGTTGATTATTTCATCACAGATTCTCTGTCTAACAATAGCTTCACAAGAGATCTCAATGCACATGGCAGAATTCTTGGTTTAATAGGGCAGAAGGATTGTGCTCTTTATATGAGTTGGCGCAAACGGCAAAGTGTAATGAGTATGAAAGAGCCCACTAATGTTTTTTTGATTGGATGCAGGCAAGCCTGTGCTTGTATCTTTCCAGAGAATACATTACTGGGCTTTTTTAGGTAGTATGTAATGACCTCTTGTGTAAACCCCCACAGTGTCCTCCTGCTTCATTATCTTTTTTTCCCTTTAGAAAGTTAAGTTATATATTGGTCTCCAAACAGCCATTAGAAGCGTAGCCCACTTCTACCGGCTGTGGTTGTGTTGCTGATTCTAAGCCAGTACTGAACCTGCTGTGTATTTCCCGGCTTCTTTTCACTCACTTCGGCTTAATGCGTAGCAGTCCTTACAAAATGGAGGGCGGGATTCAAAGAAGTGGTGCACTCGCGTTAGGGGCAATGGCCCCCTCAACATGATAGTTGATGGAAGCAGCTCCCACTGCTGGAGTGAAAGTGCTTTTTGGCTTCAAAGGCAACCGGTCTTCTCAGCCAGCAAGGAACTGCTAGAATGCAAAAGGGTGTGGGGGGGGGGGGAGCAGTCATCAGATACCATCATACTCCCATTTGCGAGTGTGGTTCTCCTTTCTTTGGATCCTGGCCAGAAGTAGTTGCACAAATGTATTTAACGTTCATTTCTTTTAAAATGCATATGACAGGTACTATAACAAGAATTTAACTATTGTAGAAAGAACATAATCGAGTCTCATCATGTTGTACTGTATGATTCCCCCCCCCCCTTGGCATGATTGCTCAAAAATTTAAAATCTGGGCTGCCGGCTGTAGCAAGAATCAGTCCTGTCCTGTACTAAGTTCCTAATTTGACTTTTTGTCTGTTTCACACTTCTGTTGCATCTGTAGGAAATGCATATTGTGTTTGGTGAAGTTGCAGGAACACAGCAAGATTTGCATGCATAAAGACACCTGTGCATCCTCCTTTCCTGGTGGCTTATGACACAAAACAACTGAACCACCAGTTATACTCCCCCAACCTAATAAAATGTCTGCAACCTACCCTCCGTTAAAAGCCCTGGTGAATACAACAGATTTCCTGTACCTCCTCAGAGTTTGAGAGGACGGTGTTCCCCTCCCTTCCTCAAGGGGCCCTTTCCGTCAAGTGGGAGCAACAACAGAGGCAGCACAGGTCCTCATCAGTGCCAGGGAGGCCACTTTTATTTAAACATTTGTACCCCACCTTTCCTCTAGGCTCAAGGCGGCTTTAATAACAAACAGCCCAAAGGTGGCATTCTGAAGCTCACAGGGACATACACAGAGAGACTTTAATCTTTCACGTAGGAGAAGATACCACCTGTTAATATATACTAGGGTTTGCCAGATGCACAGTGCTCAAGTATATCCTGAGGTCCTGACTTATACTCTAGCCACATCCGTACCCCTGTCTCCGTAAGCTGCTGTTCCCGTAGCCTCTGTGCTTCAGGACAATCATGCCGTCCCTCCTTCCCTGGCTGTTCTAAGGATTACTGTGATGATGCATGTTGCTTTGAACCTTTCTGAACAGAAGGGGAGATTTTCAGTGTCACGATTGCAAAGGGCAAGCTTGAAGAAAAGATGTATGGTTCCATAAGGAATGAATCTCTTTGAATGCATGAAATGAACGTTGTAAGAGCTAAGCGTCCTGCATAACTGTTTCATCAGGGAGAGAAGTTCATGAACAAAAACTGGTGGTAGAAATCAGATGTGGTGCTGGCGAAGACAGTCTGGATCTCATGAACTCCAGCATTTCCAGAGTTCTGCCTCATTCTGGATATGCTCAAGGGTATTTTATTTATCTTTTTTATGTGTTTTCTAGGCTTTAATTCATGGTCTGAATAGACATTACTATTCCATCACTATCAACTACAGAAAGAACGAGCTAGAACAGAAGGCAAGTTCATTTTTTCCCCTATGGTATTTTCAATTATTTGCTTTGGAGTGTATTAAAAAAAGTCATTGCAGATTATTTAAACTGACTAGAGGCATGCAGCTGTTCTGTGATCTGAATTTTAATTTCTGATCTCTTCCATTGTCATTGTCTATCTCATTTTTCCCCCTCCTGCTCCTGTATATCATATAGCACATGTATTGCCGCACCACGTGAACCTCAATCTGTACTCTTGTAGGAAACTGCATTTTCTCCAGAAGGCATCTGCATGCATAACAAGGGAATGCTAAATAAGTTGTTGGTGGAAATCAGTCTGTCTTAATTAGATGGTTTATGAGCATTTTTGTTTAAATCACGACAAAAAGTGGGCATTCTGTTTTTTAAAGCCACATCTTTTTGCAAGCTTGTCTTCCGTTTCTGCAATGAACCTGTTAATTTTCTTGCATTTGTTAATTTTTAAAAAGGCTTGTGCCTTACTTTCTTGCTTGGTCCCAAATACCTTACAATATTTAAATAAACGTTGTAAAACTAGACTATGTAGAAAATGCTCCAGAGCGATTCAGCTTTACTTGAGCGTTTGCATGCAAGTCAACATGCTGGTCGAATCGCCAGAAAACATGTCTTCTTGTAAAAGGCCTGTTGAGGAAGGTAGGCTTTTCTGGGTGCCATAAATCCTTGCATGGTGGAACACTTGTTGGATTGGCCCAGGGCATGTATGCCCTAACATCAAGACCATCACTGAAACAACCTTCATGCCAAAAGCTCACAGCTGTAAAGTCTAAGGATGTAATGCACCACTCTTAATGGGCTGCAAAGGGAAGTCATTTTGGGGTGCATGCATAGCTGTGCTTTAGAGAGCTTTAAAGGTCAGAAGCCGTACTTTGTATGGTATTCAACTCATGCAGCTGCTGCAGTATAGGTTGTAAATATGCTTCTGCCTCTCAGTACCCATGGGTATGAGGAGGCAAGCTGAGGGATCAGCTACATATTCCAAAGAATCTTCCAGGACTGTCCAAATGTGTGGTGGAGTTGTTAGAGAGTTGACCTAGGGCTGGAGAGATTCAGGTTCAAATTTCCACTCAGCTGCAAAGTTCACTGAGTAATCTTGAGCCAGCATCTCTCCCCCCCCACTTGCCTGGGAGCTGATTTGAAGACAAAATGGAGGAGGGGAGAACATCTGAGCTCTTTGGAGGAATCATAGGATACATCAGCGGTCATAAAATGTGTTTCCTCAAAGTCATGAAGGCATGCATAATAAAATAAGGTGACAGTCTGGGTCGTGTGTTTTCCTTGGTTTTTCATGAAGCAGTTTTTCAAAAACACATTTTTAAAACCTTCAGAACTGTCACACAAGTTCAGTGCAAAGTACGTTCATTGGGTTCCATTAGAACTTTAATGGTGTGGTCTCTCTTCTCTTTAGATAACAACAAGAATTTCACTGTAGGACTGCATACCCATTATCACCCAAGTGCAGCATCAGTATATCTAATTCTCAACCTGGCCCCCATCTATTGATACGGAAATCCGGAGACTAAAGCCGTGGGCAGACAAGACAGATCTTTCTACAAACCTGAGAAAAGCTCCAGTTTGCAGAAAAATCTGGAACACAATAACGATGATAATGATGATGATGATGATACTTTGAGTGGTTAAAAAAAGAAAGAGCGTCTTTTTGTGGGGGGGGGGGGGGGGGGGGGATGCCCTCTAGCCATTGTGGATGTTTTTAGGTAACCATAATAATATTGCTGGCCTTCAAACCTTGGTTTCTGCCAGTAAAAGGAAGGGTGGGAAGGCCCTTTGCAGTGCTGTTTTAGCCTCTGAGTTGACCTCTGCTCTGCTCCCTTTTGACCTGGAGGGGAAGGCTCACCAGGCCTGGGCCCAGCAACCACCCTTGGGCAGCTAGCTACCATGCAACATGGGTAAATCACCCAGGTATGGCAATAGCTAAAACTTGATGCCACAAAACGTATGTGGGCCTGGTGGTATAAAGTAGACAAGAGGAGAATAATGTGAGCTGTTTTGGGTGCCCATTGGAGAAGGAAGGTGGGATATCAATGCAGTAAGTAAATAATAAATTTGAAGACTGTTGGTGGGGCAAATAAAAGAAAGTTTGTTGGTAAGCAGAAGGGAGAGACAGAAGCAGGGGAAAGGGAAGGGATATGGCAGACTGCCAGATGGAGAGAAGGATGAAATCATACAGGGAAGGGATACGGGATAAACTGAAGTGACCCCCAAAAGGCCTTCTGGGTCCATACTTCGTTCCTTTCTAATTTACAAAGTCTACTAACCTCTCCCCAGTGCACCAGATCACTAGGATATGATGTTCAGAACAAACTACCTGGTTTGTGGATCTTTGGCATTGTGGATGCCTCTGTACAGATGTCCTGCTGTGCTTGGTGTCCTTGGAATTGCATGGAAATTAACAAAAGGCAGTATTCGGTCAACTGTCGATATGTCTGTCATTTTACTGAAGGTGATGAACCCAGACAGAATCCAGCCTTTCTCACTCAGAGCCAATTCCTTTGAGCTTGCAAGACTCAAAAGTGTTAAATTCTTTTGCTGCTTTGAAAACCCCCTAACAAACCCATGATATGCACAGGCAGACAGATTTGAGAACATGTTATTGGTGTGTTTGTATAGGGGCTGTGTTTAGTACATCAGTATCTGCAAGGCATCGAGAAATGTCGACTCAGAGCTGTCCCTTCTCGTGTCAACTCCTGCACTAAGTTTTTATTTCCCCCTCTTTTTGCACAGCTTCTAGAGTCTGGACCTTAAATTTTTTCCCCCTCAGGTTAATTCCATCTTCATTCATTGCACTGCAAGCATTTTTGCTAAGGTGATAACAGTAATTGCTGAGTGTGACAAGGAAAAGATTTTTTGATTCAAGGATGTTTCCATTAACGTGTATAGCCTTCACCCAGTGTGCTGGCATCCTTTCAGTGTGATGTCCATTTCCCCACGCCCGTGACTTTGTTCTCATGACTGAGAATGGGACCTCAGCAATTCTGACACCAATTATGTGTTGGAAGCTGATGGTCTGGCTGAAGGCCTTGAAACCGCATGATCACAAACAATTTTTAGCACTTAATCAAGGTCTTTCAGAATCTCCCTGTGAGGGTAGCCTCCAGTTTCTCTATTACTTTATATCCCAAACAATTTCTGTCGCATCAGATCATCGCCAAGGATATGGGTACTCATGAGCAAGGTAACAAGTCAATCTGTGCAACAGGGAAAAATTCATCTAGTGGAGGCCCATGTCATTCAGACTTGACAACAATGTTCTGAATGCCTTCCCATCACCAGAAACTTTCCGATCTCTTGGCAATGATCATTACAAGTACCAGCAGACACCAGATGTCTGCAGGATTATTCTTCTGTCCTTCCAGTGTCTTTTGCAGTTTAGATCCTGTTGCAGAACTGAAATTGATTTAAACGTTTCAACTACCATGATACCTGCACTTAATCATAGCAAATCCTCCCCAACTTTAACTGCCTGAGTGTGCATCTGTAATTCATCCATGTGAACCATCTTGAGTGTCTGCTGAAATCTGATACACTTTTTAAAAAACTGTGTTGTGACTGGGTCAGGGGTTTTTGTTTTTGTTTTTTTTGCAGATGTTGCTGAATTTGCATAAGAAGAGTTGGATGGAAGGGTTAACTCTCCAAGACTACAGTGAACACTGCAAACTTAATGAAACAGTAGTGAAGGAAATGCTGGAATTAGCAAAGAATTATAACAAGGTACCACTGTAAGCCTATATTGCATTAGGACCACAGGAGTTGGTGTCATTCAACCAGTGAGAGTTCCTAGGGCTGAGGTATTGGTCAGCCAGTCAGCACACTTTCTGGCTTGTGTTCTGAGGTTATCTGTTAGCTAGGTGACATCAGGCAATGGCAGTTGTGTGCGCTTCTGCTCTTTGAAAGAGCAGGAAGCTGATTCCCAAAGCGGAGAATCCTCACCTTTGTTTTCATTTTAGCCAAACATCATAGAAAAGACTCAACCTCGGTCCTTACAAAGACACCTGGAGTATTCCCCTAGGCCCCCCCCCCCCCCCAAGTCTTGGAAATGGTAATATAAGAAATAAGCACACTCAGGGCACTTACAATACCAGTGGGAATGTGCTGTGGAGTAACAATCATGGTTTTCCTGCTGCCAGATGGGAAGAATGCAGTATTCCCTCAACAGAAGCATTGGCTGGAATGAGACTGAATCCCACACAGATAACTAAAGAGCATGGATCTTTACTGTTACCAATGTTCCCTCTAAGCTGAGTTAGTGTGAGTTAGCTCACATTTTTCTAGCCTCCAGCTCACACATTTTTGTCTCAGCTCAGGAAGGAGGGCTCCAGAGCAAACTAATTGATGCAGTAGCCAAATCGCTGGCTCACAACTTTAATGCCAGGAGCTCACAAAGCAGAATTTTTCCTCACAAGACTCCACAGCTTAGAGGGAACATTGGTCAGGATTACCCTGATGAACATGACCTGATACTGTTGTACTTCCTGAAACCAGCATAGTTTAGCTTCCTTTTTCCATTGGGAGTGTAATTCTTTAAAGGATGCTGTAGCTTTATGTTCATTTTTAAGAAAATAGTGGTTTTGGCTCTGGAATTAATAAGATCTCATGTGTTAACCTTTCCCGCATTTCCTTCGCAGGCTGTAGAGGAAGAAGATAAAATGACACCTGAACAGCTGGCAATAAAAAATGTTGGCAAGCAGGTGAGGTGTAATGAATTATACTGACGTGAAATAACATGATTTGTATATTTTTGTTTAGTCACATGCTGGTAGAGCCCCCCCCTTCCTTTAACTCCTTACAAAGAGTTCACTTATTTCTACTGGAGCAAATTATTGCAAGTCTCTGACTTGAGGTAGTCTCAATAACAGACAGAAGAACTGCTACCATTCGTTACCTGCCATGGGTTTTATTATGGTACCTTTTGTATCTAAATAAACCATCTGGCATATTAGGCTTTGAAAGGAATCTGTATTATTTCTGTTATTGGGCTGAACATCCCCCAAAAGAATACGCTCACATATTTCTGTAGCCAGCAGTTGTTGAACCGATTACCAGTGCACGTGTGGCCCTTAAGCGACTTGGTGTTCCTTTGCATTGGAAAACAATTAGCTTCATGATTGCAATAGCGAAGGTGTGTTTTTTATGCATACTGTCGTGTGAGAATAAAATGGAAGAGAGGAGAATGATGTAAGTCACTTTGGGTCCCCATTGGGAGAAAGGTGTGGTATATATGAATTAAATAAATAAGACCTGTGCCTTGATCCAGAGACGTGTGTACCTTCAGTGTTCTCCAGGAGCTTTGAACTCTTTATGTGACTAGCAACCCACACACACACACACACTTGAAAACTGAGAGGAGACTCAGTGGTGATCTATTTAGGGGATATGAGTTTCCCCTCCATGGGGATGGGGGGAAATCTGTCATTGCCAAAGTCAATCTAAACTCTGTTGTACTGTTTTATTGGATGTCCCATGCTGTTGATTTTATTTGACATGCACAGTGTAATCCACCTTGAGTCTTAATGAGAAAGGTGGGCTATAAATAATGTCAGTAAATAAATAAAATGGTGTCTGTAAGGATCAAACGTGCTGAATACTCTAAAGCAGCAGTTCCCCAACTTTTTTGAAGTGGGACCCACTTGTAAATTTACTGTACTTTTGAGGACCCACTCTTCTTCCCAATGTAACACACAGGAACATCAGTTAATAATGAACAGATCTATTTTTTTCCTGCATAGTATTTACAGATATATGGTATAATGCAGGGGTCCCCAGTTTCTTTGAGACTGCAGGCACCTTTGAAATTTTGAGAGGGGCAAGGGGCCTCTCAAAATGGCCACTGTAGGAGATGGAGCCAAACTTAAAATGGCCGCTGCAGAAGGTGGAGAAAAACACAAAACACTTCTCATTTTGCAAAATATTTTTTTTTTAAATTTATATCCCACCCTCCCTATCAGAGCAGGCGCAGGGCAGCTTACATAAAATTTATTAGGCAAAGGAGCAGAAACGTATAAAATCTCTCCTTATATATAATTGTATTTTGGTCATGGACTCTCCTGAACATTCCAACATGTCTCCCAAATCAGTTGGCTCCCTGGTGTGTCACTCAGAAGCAGTCCCTATCCTCTGGCTGCGTTGCTTGAGTCTCGCCTCCAACATTCTAAACAGTTTGCTGTTCCTCTCCCCCCCCCCATAGCCAGTCAGAACACAGAGGTCATTTGCATATGCAGCCTCATTGGCCTTTGCCTCGGAACACAGAGGTCATTTGCATATGCGGCCTCATTGGCCTTTGCCTCTAACATTCTAAAGTTTGCTGTTGCTGTTCTGAGGTAAAATATGTTCTGAGGTAAAATACATTTTCCCTTAGTGCCTGTTGGGGGAAACCATTGTTGCCAATCTCCTGGTGAGGGCTGAAGATCATTCAGAATTACAACTGCTTTCCAGATGGCAGAGATCAGTTCCCCTGGAAAAAATGGTGGACTCTGTGTCCTTATATCCTGCTGAGACGGCCCCTGTATGACAGCCAATGTGACATAGCAGTCAGGGCTTCAGAGCATGGTAGAGGCTGCAGGTGGGGGGGTGGAAAGCTGAAGAGTGAGGGAGAAATAAAGGTAGGTTGATGATTGGCTGGGAAGGAGATAGGTTTGCCAACTCCAGGTGGGAAATTCCTGTAGATTTGAGGGATGGAGCCTGGAGAGGGGGAGGTTTGAGGAAGGGTGGGACCTCAGACAGGTACAATGCCATAGACTCCACCCTCCAAACCAGCCACTCCCTCCCGGGGAACCATTTTTGCCAATCTCCAGGTGGGGGCTGGAGATCACTCAGAATTACAACTGCTTTCCAGGAGGGAGGGAGGAGGAGATGGAAAGCTGAAGTCAGAGGGGCAGATAAAGGTCAGTTGATGGTTGGCTGGGAAGGAGATAGGGTTGCAAACTCCAGGTTGGAGAATTCCTAGAGATTTGAGGGGTGGAGCCTGGAGGGGGTGGGGTTTGAGGAGGGGTGGGACCTCAGACAGGTACAATGCCATAGATTCCACCCTCCAAACCAGCCATTCCCTCCTGGGGAACCATTGCTGCCAATCTCCAGGTGAGGGCTGGAGATCACTAAAAATTAAACCTTCAGGTAGCAGAGAGCAGTTCCTCCAGAGAAAATGGTGGACTCAGTGTCATTGTACCCTGCTGAGGTCACCACAGCAAATTGACAGGCCGGGGCACCCGCCCAGAACCCCTTTCTAGGGCTTGTTGTATTTATTTCCACAATGGACCTTATTCCTAGTATAACTATAAACATAAACATATAAAAACATTACATCACGTTCTAATACAGATCGTATAACAGTGGCGAGGTGTTAGTAGCATCCACATAGAGTACAGTCGGCTGGTATTCCAGTCTTGGCTGTACCAGTGGTGCACAGGCTGTCGGTGATGATGTTAGTATTGGGGCCGGGCCTTGATTTGTTGGATGCGGCTCGCTAATTGAAAGCCTGGTGGAAGAGCTCCATCTTACAGGCCCTGCGGAACTGTAAAAGGTCCCGCAGGGCCCTGAGGGTGAAGGAAGGAAGGCAGGCAGGCCTGAGGGGAATAGGAAGAAGAAAAAGAAGAGATTGGATTTATACCCCACCCTTCACTACCGAAAGGTGTCTCAGAGCAGCTTACAAACTCCTTTCCCTTCCCTTCCCCTCCCCACAACAGACACCCTGTGAGGTAGGTGGGGCTGAGAGAGCTCTTGACAGAAACTGCTCTTTTTTCAAGAACAGCTGTGCCAGAGTTATGGCTTGCCCAAGGTCATCCAGCCAGGTGCAAGTGGAGGAGTGGGGAATCAAACCCAGTTCTCCCAGATTAGAGTCTGCACACTTAACCACTACACCAAACATGCTCAGAGAAGAAGAGACTGGGGAATAAGACGAGAGCCTGAAAGAACCACAATCTTGGGTCCTTACCAGTCCTGCTGATCCTCCAGTGGCTGTGGCTGCTATTGCAGCCATGGAAAACTTTTTCACTTGAATGAGGGCAGCCAATAAGAAGCCGTGTCTTACAGTGGCCCTGCCCACGTTCTGAAAAGCTCTGCAGATGTCAGACGTACTGACGGGCACCACATTGGGGGATCCTGGTGTGGTGTTACCAAACGCCATATTTTATGGCCATTATGCTGAAGAAGAGGAGATTGGATGTCTTGGAGTCTCAGAGTGGCTTACAAACTCCTTTCCCTTCCTCTCCCCACAACAGACACCCTGTGAGGTAGGTGGGGCTAAGAGAGCTCTGAGAGAACTGTCCTTGAGAGAACAGTTCTGACAGGACTATGGCTTGCCCAAAGTCATCCAGCAGCTGCAAGTGGAGGAGTGGGGAATCAAACCTGGTTCTCCCAGATTAGAGCCCGCACACTTAACTACTACACCAAAAATAGACCCAAGTCTAACATGGAGCCTTCCAGAGCAGCATGCTCAGTTCACCTTGTTCCGCCTTCTCCCTCCTGGCCCACACCTGTAGGAAAGTTAACGACCCACATTTGGGTCCTCACACCCAGGGCTTGAGAAATGTTTCACTGATTTATTTCCAGATACGCTTTAGGCTCTGAATGCCAGTCTGGTGGTGAAATAAATTAATCTAAAGTACAGTGAGTTTCACTGTGGGTATTTTTAAATTGTTTTTTTCTCTTGGAAGAAAGGGGCAATATTTATTTAGTGTCCAGTGTTGTAGTACCCAATCAAATACTGTAAGGAAACCCTCCTTCCCGTTGGAATACCTGATATGCCTGGTACAAGCCATAAATTTAATGGCAGCAAATGAAGTTGAATGCAAGACATTTTCCTTAGTCGAAGAATCCTTTCTACTTCTCATTTTGCCGAGCCTTTTGAAATGCATTGGGTTTTTCCTGGGGGAAGCAGGAGGTCATACAGTTCAAGCACTGGGAAGTAGGAGGAGGCTTTGGGGGAGGGCCCATAGATCAGTGACAGAGTATCTGCTTGCCTGCAGTAGGTCCCAGGTTCAGTCCTCAGCCTCTCCACTTAAAGGTTCAGTAACAGGTGATGTGAAAGACCAATACCCAAGTGGCCGAAGAGCCACTGCGAGTCAGCATCGGCATTTCTGGCCTTAATAGGCAAAGGGTCATACTCAGTATGAGGCAGCTTCACGTGTTTCATATGTGTTCAGAAAAGGACTGGAAAGAACAACCTTAGGGTAAGGAGCTTAGGTTTCCTTGCCAGGTGCATGCTAGAAAGCAAAACTACAGCTAGCAAAATGGAATCTTCATTGAGAACCATAAAACTCCTTGACTGAACCATGTTGCAAGCCAGAAGTATGCAGATATAAATGTAATTCCGTAGGAAAACGTGAATTTGTATTTTGCTTGCAAGTTAGAAAGTTTCTAAAAAGAGCATTTTTAGTTTTCTCTCAGGGTGTTTTCCCCCTGTATCTCACTGTTGTTCCTATCTGTATTTTATGGTTTGTTTTCATTTATTTAATTGGAAAGCGCTTTTGTTTTGAGTGAGGATATCTTAAAATAACATGGGATGAAGTCCCAGTTCCATTGGAAGCAAATGGCAAAGCTCCCATTGATTTCAATGGAGCCCAGATTTTATTAATGAACTTGGTAAATGAATAAGAAGAAAGAGGCACTGTTATAATGGATGCTTCTTGAAGTTGACAATTCATTTGTGATGCAAGCTCTTATATATATAAATGTATACAGTATTGTTTATTAGGCAGGTATTACATTTATACAGTATTGTTTATTAGGCAGGTACTTCTTTTATAGGTTTTCTGTTACACATAAGGGACAAGCTACACATGACAAATGAAAAGCAGTTTTGGAGGCTGCAGTCAAAAATGGTGAGGATGGGGTCCTCTCATTTCCTTTGTAGGTGAAAAAGCAGCTGCTGTGTAGAGAAGGTTTTTGAGGTTTAAATAACTCTTCACGCCCATCCCTTCACTCTTCCAAATTCCAGTTGAAGTCTGTTTTTTAAGGATTGTGCAGCTGTGTATCTCGTGTAGTGTTTGTCCTCCAATTATGAGGTCTATGGTAAACAGGGCATAGAAGTTAGTTTGAGCTTAGGCTGCTGGAAAACTAATACACATTCCACCCAGGTATTGAGTAAGCAGCTTGGACCCGTGCTGAACCCTGCTAGTCCAGACTCAGGATCAGAATCAGCAGCATAGTCTAAAACTGCAATTGAGGAGCAAAAGTAATGCAAAGTCTGGTATCTAGTATTACCAGTACCTGTTATTTAAATGCTAGTACCATAAAGTGGGGGGGAGGGGCGCAGTTAGTGTTGTGCATTTGATTTCAAAGAATGGGGTGGACCAGTGTGATCAGGATCCAGGCAGGCTGTTCTCACTGGCCCTAATCCAGAACCTTGTGTGCATTCCAAGTTGGAGGTTCCCAGACCTCTTGGTCAAAGCAGATCTTTCCAAGCACTCAGATTCCTTTCTGCACACTGAGCTGCCCAAGCGTCTGAAAGCCAGCAGAGAGGGATGGAGTGTGTGCCCATCCAAACACCCCACTGGCCACAAAACAGATCTTGGGCCAGTCACACACACTCAGCCGCTAACCTACCTCACGAGGTTATCATAAGGATAAAAGGGAGGAGAGGAGAGCAGTGTAAGCTGCTCTTGGATGCCCCACTGGCGAGGAAGGCAGGTATGAATGCTGTTTATAAAATGCCCACCTAACCTGGGGGGCAAGTGTGTGCAAAGTAATGTTTCAGGAACTTCAAAATACAGCACTCTCGTGTATCAGTAACTGAGACACCATATAAACACTGTGCTGGCTCCATCAGTAACAACAAGCATTTTATGAGAAACTACAGCTAACATAACAGCGATTGGGGTTGTAATGGCTTAATAGCAGCCTCTGTTCAGTTGTCAGTGAGAAACTCAGAAGAGCCAGTTGCTGGTGTGACACGGAAAATGGGGATGTGATAGTTCCTATAAATAACGTTCTGTGTTTATATTTTAGGACCCAAAACGTCATTTAGAAGAACATGTGGATGTGCTGATGACTTCCAACATCGTCCAGTGTTTAGCAGCTATGCTGGATACTGTTGTGTTTAAATAACGACTCTTCTGCTCATCAACGCTGTTTTCTTTCCGTAATCATCCATTGTTTCAAGCACTGAGACTGAGATAAATTCGGATGTCAAAGACATCTGGCATCATTTGCAGTCTAAGAGCAGCACTGTAACACCTTTTCATCTTTGTTGTGCAATTACTTTGGGGTTTTTTTTAAATGGCTGTGTCTTCACAGATTCCAACACAGTTCAAGAGCACCAAGTTGGGAAAGTGCGTGTTAATGTTTTCATTTGATGTTTGAGGGAAAATCAGCAGTAAATATATATATTGAAGACTGCTACATACATGATTTTTAAAAAAAATCTGTAACCCATTTAGTGTTCTGGTGGTTTTGTTCATAAATCAAGAGAAAAGGTATATGCTGGTGCTGCTGTACAGAATTCATGCATGAGAACTTGGTGCTTCACAGATGAAACCTGGCAACCTGTGACATAGATGTGATTTTGCAACCAAAAAACACCCTTCTTAGAAAGCAGCTTGGTTTTTGTCCCATGGCGAATGCAGTCCGATTGGCATAGGAAGAAAAGAGCGCAATCCAGTAGTCTGGGTGCATTATCGTCATTACAGATCTTTCCCAAGTTCTTCTTTCTAGAATGGTCCATGTGTGTCCTGGGGCAACACTAAGAGGAAGGAAACAAAACTATCCTCTCCTCCCTCTTCCACTGATGGACTGTTACACCCAGGCCATGTAAAGCACTTTGCAGTGCTGATTGGTTTGCTTCTGTGCTCTTTGGGATTAGAGTCGTCATAACAGTTCTGATTTCCATCCTTTTTAGGATCATAGAATCATAGAATGTTAGAGTTGGAAGGGACCTTGCAGGTCATCTAGTCCAACCCCCTGCACTCTGCAGGAGCATAGCTGAAAGATAGCCCTACATACCTACAACATACCCGAAAGATGGTTGTCCAGCCTCCGCTTGAAAACATCCAGCAAAGGAGCATCCACCACCTCCCGAGGCAGACTGTTCCACTGCTCAACCACTCTTACAATTAGGTAACGACTCCCTTGTAATTTCCATCCATTAGATCTAAAGTCTTGCAATCCGGAGCAAGAGAGACTAGATCTGCTCCATCTTCTACATGACAGCCCTTCAAATACTTGAAGACTGCAATCATGTCCCTTCTAAGTCTTCTCTTTCCCAGGCTAAACATACCCAACTCTTTCAGCCTTTCCTCATAAGACTTGGATTCCAACCCTCTCACCATCCTGGTTGCCCTCTTCTGGACACATCCTTCCTAAAGTGTGGTGCCCAAAACTGGACACAGTACTCCAGGTGAGGCCTGACCATAGCAGAATGGAGCGGATTTTTAGATTTTAACCCCTGCTTAGGACAGCTCATCTTAATGGGAAGTAACCATATAAGTCTCTATAAGAGGAAAACAAGCAACAGTATTGAAAATACCTTGAATTTTCCATGGCCTTTTGATGAACAACCTCTCTAGGATTGGGAATCCAGAAACAGTTGGAAGTGCTATTAAGTGTTTTGAAAAAGAGATACAACTAATTTGACTGATTTTAAATAATGGTTGTTCCACTGCGTGTGAACCAGGAGGATACATTTATGGGATGACTGAAGAGGAAGCTTTGTCTTTGAACATAGTACCTCAAACCCTAGAATGAGGCAGAGGAAATTGATCTTAGTTAAAATGCTTGTGAGAACCCAGGAAAATGAATCAAGAAAGAGGCTGCAGTGTCCAGTGATGGCGTTCTGTGCTCTAATAAGAGGTTTTATATATTTCAGACAGTTCACACACGGAATTCAGTATTTTGAGAAGCTCTTTGTTCACTGTTTTTTCACCTCAGTCTTTGAAAAGGGTAGAATACAATATCTTAAGTTTTTACAAAAAGCTGCCATATAAGACACAGATTTAATTCTCCCATGTTTTATGAACAAAGCACAAATGTGGAGACATCGGGTAACAAGCATGTCACTGTATACGTTATTCTATGTTAGAGATGTAAAGTTTCCAGACATTTGGAAGTGAATTGTATCTCAGTCAATATACACTTGTATGCCTTGTTGGGTAACAGATTTATTGCATCGTTAGACTAGTGCCATCTGCGAGCTTTCCTTGTGTTAGTTCCCACTCCAGTCCTGTTGTCAGGTGCGGAGGGGCATGAACTTCCAGGTCTTCACGCTCCCATTTCAGTTTGGACAGAGAGTGAGCACAAAGTAAATGGATGCTAGAACTTTTAACAAAATCAGTGCTGCTGGAAATGAAAAGTTTGTGTCATTTTTCCTACAGAAAGGATGGGAACATTATATCCAATGCGGCTGAACATGATCTAGCCAATAGTAATACATACTAGACAGAGACGATTACAATTTCCCAACAAATAGCCACATTTTGGGAATACCTGAACCCATGTGGCAGACCAGATGTGGTTAATCTTCAATTGCATGGGCTTCTGTCTCCTCACCAGTTCTATGCAAACTGGTTTTCAGTAAACTCCTTTTAGAAGCACTTGACCCAAACAGATTTTCACTTCAAGCAATGCTGCCCCATTCCATATGGCAAACTGCTCTGAAAAGGCCCCTAACTTTCAGAAGTAGATTGCTCAGTGTGCTGGTAATCACAAGTCCCTATCCTGAAAGTGGTGTTTGTATAAATGCTGCCCTATTCCTGGAAGGTATACAAGAAAATATAAACATTTTAGAAAAATTAAAACTTGCTGCTTTCATTCGCCCATTTGAGTAGGGAAATACAATGAAAAGCAGGACTGTCTCATTGTGTTTTTAGCACACCTCTTGTCTTCCATGCTACTACCCTGTAACATGGTGTTTGTGGTTGCAAGGGGGATGTTTCATGTGAAACGCAGGCGGCTTTTCACCCATCCTTGCCTTAGAAGAGTCTGCAAACAAAGAGCAAGGATGACTGGACAAGTTTCCAACAATCTCAGCAAATCTGTATTGCATGGGCTTTAAGTTCTTCCTTTTCAATGCCTCCATTAGAGGTTCTAACACTTTACTGTATATTAAAAAGATCTACTCATTAATCTACCTCTAAGGACTCTGATGGGCACAATAAGACCAAAGCTAGAGATACATTAATTGGCAAGCAGATGCTAACGAAAATTTGTTTAATAGCGTTAACAGTTGGCTACGTTATCACGAATGTTCCTTAGGCCTGACCTCCATTGTGTATTTTTCGTTGGCAGAATGCGTTTCTCTTCACTACACTCTTCTTGTTCTGCCAAAGACTGTGTGTATATTGGATAATATAGATGTGAGGGAAAGCATAAAAGTAAACACGAAAGAAAAATAGATGGTTTCTTTGAATACTTTGCTCTGTGCCAAATTGTGTCCTTGAAATTTTTGGAGCTGCCATTAATTCATTGGAGGTATGACTTTGCTGGGAGGAGAATGACTTAAACCCTGGGAAAGAATCATATGGACTCTGCTATTACATCAGTAATTCAATCCTAAGCAGAGTTACCACTTCTATTGAAGTGTTAAGATTCTTCAAAGGGTGTAATTCTGCCTAGGAACTGTGTGCCATTCTAAGCAGAGTTACACCGTTCTAAACCAATTGACTTCACCGGACTTTGAAGGGAGTAACTGTTTAAGATAGCATTGTTAATGTTACATGTGGAATGGCCTTCATACCAGATCAGTGTCTTCTCCATCCTCAGTATGACTGGTAAAAGCTCTTTAAGGCCTTGTGGTGGTGGAAAATGCCTTCGAGTCACAGCCAGTTTACAGTTACCATATAGGATTTTCAAGGCAAGAGATAAAACAGTGATTTGTCATTGCCTGCCTCTGTGTAGCAACCCTGGACTTCCTTGTTGGTTATCCATTCAAAGGCTAACCAGGCCTGAACCTGCCTAGATTCTGAGATCTGATGAATGCCTCATACAAAGGTCTTTTCCAGACCTGCCGCATCAGGTCACTGGACCAAAGGCACCAGGGTCGTTTTGGGGAAACCAGAAATGTAGGCAGGGAGGGGCTGTGTCTCAGGAAGAGCGTGTGCTTTGCATGCAGAAAGTCCCAGGTTCGATCCTCGGCATCTCCAGTTAAAAGGACCAGCAGTAGCCGATGTGCAGGATCTCTACCTGAGACCTTGGAGAGCCACTGCCAGTCCGAGTTGACAATACTGACCTTGATAGGACCAGTGGTCTGACTTGATACGAAGCAGCTTCATGCATGTGACCAAAGCAGGGACAGGGGCTTTATTTTGAAGCCTAGCTTTAGGATTGCTTTCAACTGAGCCAGTACACATTGCTACTTTTGTTATAAGTACCAAGGCCAAGTGGCAATTCTGTCTAGGAACAAACAGTTCTTAAAGTATTGTAAACTCCACCCATGCAGACAGGATAGGGGAACAAGCTGAATATTACCAAGTAGTAAGTGGGTAATTTTCAAGACTAGATTCCTGTACTGTGGAATCACCTCTGTATATTTCCTCTAAATCCCACTTGTTTTTTAAAATACACTTGTTTTTTAAAATATTTAATGCTATGTATTTTTGTTAATGGACAGGATATTTTAACAGTATCAAGCAGAGAATACTTCAGTTAATTTTTTTTGCTATCAAGCTTTAGGCCATTTGAAAAACAACATTTTAAAAATCACGTCATTAAAAAGACAGACGTGCTAAATTTGCAAGCGTTTATAGCCATCTCGCAGCAGCAGGTTGTCTGTATAAAATTGTTTCTTCCACTGTGGAGTCGAACTACAATACCATTTAATTAGAAATAATCCATACATTGTTGTAGCCACAGAAATGTATCTTGAATAAGCTTTACGTGAGGCAGTTCATGCTAAGGGAACTCTCAGGTAAACTACTTGTGTTTCTAACAACGCTTGTGAAATATCTTGCCTGACAAATGGGGCTCAGCGGATCATCACTTAGCTTCTGCAGGGGTAATAACATGAGAACAGCTCTTGAGGGCTAGACCGAAGGCCCGTTGACTCCATCCTGTCTTTGTCATGGTCAGCCCAGGGAGAACACAACTCCAAACCAACAATACACCTCTCAGTGTTCTCTGCTTCAGTGGGAAAGCGCTTACACTCTGATCTCTCTCACTGCGCAACAGGGGCCTTCATTGGTTGGATTGTGCTCAAAGATTTTTCTCTAAAAAGTATTCAGATCTGAGTGGTACTTTTCCATGTGTTTTGGTAGGCAGTATCTCTCTTATTCTGTAAAAAAAAAATTTAAAAAAACATTTCACAGACTTTGGGTACAATAGAGATTGAGTACTTCTAAATCCCACTGAAATCCACAGCACAGGGACCAATCCTTAGGAACAAGGGAAGCAAGGGCTGTCCCATTGAACTCAGTGGGCTTGCTTTCAGGAAACTAGCATTGTATCAAGGTGTTGTCATGTAACCACTATTTTCCACTTCATTCTAAGTATATGCTGAGTTCAACGGTAAAGTTCTCGGTAAGTGTACACAGAATTGCAATCACACTTATTTCAGTGGTATGTCTGATGTTCACTATCCTGTGTTCCTTAACACTTAACCATTGCTGTGTGAGAGGGATGACTTCTGCTTGGAGAGATTTCACTTCTGCCTCATTTAAAAGACTGTCTGGTTCAGTGTAAGGCGAGAAACCTTACTGAGTATAATGGTTAAAGAAGGCAGGCAATGTTATGGGATGGAATGTTTTGTTTAAATTAGAAAATTTCTTTTTAATCCCATGGGATTAAATTTTTTTTCTAATTTACCATCATATTCCCCATTACTACATATGGGTATGAAAGTTGGACAAGGAAGAAAGTGGGCTGAACTCTCCCTAGAAACTAAAATGACTAAACTGAGCCTATCGTACTTTGGTCACATCACAAGAAGCTGATTCGCTGGAAAAGAAAAGATGATAATGCCG